TTTTTGTAATTCATTGTCTAGATTATAAATTACATCATGCGTAAGATGCATATGTACAGTTTGAAAATGCTTCTATATTTGATTCTAATCAATCAATAGATTGCTGGTATTTATATTTGATATGAAAAGTAACTAATGATTGAAGACATTGCCGAAGTTGCTCATCATTTTCTATTGTTTTTAGAGATAATAATTGTTGAGATAGGTCATGAAACACTTTTGATTTATAATAGTAGTCAATATTTACACCATTAATGTTTATAAACAACAAATCCATCAGCAAATGTAAACGTCTATCAATAAGAATATTATTTATACGTTGATTTAAACCAGAAAAAGTTCGAAATATTCTATAAATATTACCAGAATATCGTATAATAATCATTAAAATTTCATTAGGCAATGTTTCAAATGTAGATAATAACATTTTCTTTCTGATATGTTTCTTTTTGTATTAATAGTCAACATGCACTATTCACTTTGTATCTTCTAAAATATTTGATTGTGCAATGTGGTCGATGTCATTATTGAGTCAATGTATCAAATCCTTTTTTTTCTCTTTTCTGTTCGGCGTAATAACAAAAACAAAGCACTGTATCTCTAAACCAGAACAAAAAAAATATTTATCTGATAACGTGATGTGAGAACGTCCTCAAAATTGTAGTTTTTTCTTTCTGTTTTGCCATTTGTTACATAAATTACTCTCGTTGTAATTTTAATCTATTGTAATTTGAACGATATAAGTTAAACGTTTGCTTTGTACATGCGATCGATTCTTTAAAGTTGTCTACGAATCAAAAGTCAAAATAAATGAGAAAAATGTGTAACATTGGCTTTGGTTATGGACAGTTCATTGCTGTTCGTATCGATCTTATCCGATTATATAGAAAATGATATCGATTTATTAAAAAAATGACTGATCTTGTCTTTGATAAGTAATACGGTGATAAGTGCAGTATTTCTGTAGTCGATCACGTATGCATTTGACTAAAGTACTAAGCTAGCCTCAAGTCAACCGTTATACACAAGAAAAATAATGAAAACTTTAGACAGGACAGCATCTATTCAAGATGCAATCGCTTTTTCGTTCTTATGTTAATTGAAACTTCATCGCTGGAAGTTGAGATCGCTTTGCACAATAATTATGTAGTCATTTTCGAATTTTCTTCTTTTACTTGCCAAATAAACTCATCGAAAGTTATGATTTTCTATTGCGATGATCTCGAAAACAGAAAGTCAGGAAATATGTAGATAAACATTTGTGTACTGTCTTATTGACGCATTGAAGAAGATAATGAATTTGAAGGGAATCTTTTTCAGCACAAAACTCTTGTAACTTTTTAAATTCAAAACGAATTATATATACTAAGCTCGTATCTTCTTGATTACAGACGTTTTTCCTTAATCGAAGAAAAAAAATGTCTGAAAATCTGGAAAGGCTTGTTTTAGAAAGAATATTACCAAACACAGCGAAATCTTTGGGTAAAAAATAAGGTATATTCAAGAATCGAAAAAAATTAACAACGGTGAGTATCAAAAACAAGAATAAGCTCAATAACTCATCGTGTATCATAGAAAACTCAAATTAGTGACCAACGAAATAGAACTATTTAGATGGGGTGTGGGTGTGGGTGTGGGGTGTGGGTGTGGTTGTGGGGTGTGGGTGTGGGTGTGGGTGTGGGTGTGAGTGTGAGTGTGAGTCTGGATCTCTACATCAACACCCACACTCACACCCCACACCCACACCCACACCCCATACCCACACCCATCCACACCCACACCCTCAGGAGATCCGAGAGAATTCGACAACAACGTGCACAAGAAAGCGAAAATGTTAGAAAGGAACGACTACAAAATGATGCAGCAAGGCATCGTTCGCGACGTTTACAAGAATCAGAACAAGAAACGCAAGAATGTCGAGGAAAGGATGCGTCACGAGCAAAAAGACGAAGGGAGCAAGAAACTGATGATGAACGACATGAACGACAAACAAGGAACACTTTTCGTCAGCGCCAACGTCGTCACCAAAGCTCATCTCTATACGCAGCTATACTTGAAAACGAATTTCCGCCTGAAATCTATCATGGGAAAATGGATAATCTCTGTCGACACTGCAATGCCTTACATTTTAGGGGAGAATGCGCTTCTGATAGACAAGATGAATTCAAACAGTGTTGTCACTATGGATCTATTCAACTTCCAGAGCTTCTCCCATACTCAGATGAAATCAAAGTTCTTCTCCAAGGAACTGATATTGACTCAAGAAATTTCCGCGAAAATATTCGAAGTTACAATAATGCTCGCGCATTTGTATCGATGGGAGCTCAGATAGATTTACCACAAGGTTATGGACCCTACTGTTTCCGAATTCATGGACAGATATATCATCGAATCGGTCCACTTCATCCTGAACCTGATCAAAGAGCTCAATTTGGTCAACTTTACCATCGAATTCATGATCGACGACTCTACAATCTCCCAACAGCAAATGAAGTTGCTGCAGTTTTCGTAGGTGAAGATAATGAAGTTCCAACACATCGACATATTGCAATTCATCCACGTGGCAAAGATCTTCAAATTATTTCAATCTTACACACACACTGTGATCCAATGATTTATCCACTTTTATTCCCACGTGGAGATGAAGGATGGCACCAGGATTTAGAAAAAACCGATCAATCAAGAAAGCGAACAAGAATATCAATGCTTCAGTCTTACAGTTATCGATTGGCTGTTCGTCAAACCTTCAATGCTATACATTATGCAGGAAAATTATTTCAACAATATATTGTCGATGCCTATGTTAAAACTGAACAAAATCGCCTTGCATTTCATCGACAAAATCAAAAAGCTCTTCGAGTGGAATTATATCAAGGCCTAATGGATCATTTCGCAAATGAAGCAGTAATAGAAGGATTAAAACCTGGACGAGTCATTATACTTCCATCAAGTTTTCAAGGAGGTCCTAGAGCAATGCAACAAAATTATCAAGATGCAATGACAATTGTCCGAAAATACGGCAAACCCGACTTATTCATCACATTTACATGTAATTCAACATGGAGAGAAATTGAAGAACAGCTTTTCCCCGGTCAAACTCCTTCTGATAGACCTGATCTAATTACCAGAGTATTTAAACTCAAACTTGATGACCTTATTGATGATCTATTCAAGAAGCATATATTAGGAAGAACAATAGCAAATGTCTTCGTAATTGAATTTCAAAAGCGTGGCTTACCACATTGCCACATGCTTATTATTTTGGACAGTGAAGACAAAATAAAAGATGACAATCATATCGATCGAATTGTATGCAGTGAAATACCAGATGCTGCTCGATTCCCACAATTATATGAATGCGTAAGAAGATATATGATTCATGGACCATGTGGAACATTAAATCCACACTCTCCTTGCATGGAAGAAGGAAAATGTTCAAAAGAGTTTCCAAAAGAATTTCAAAATGAAACTATGGCAAATAAGGATGGCTATCCACGATATCGTCGAAGAGATAATGGAATTACTATGACCATTGGCAAATATGAAGTTGATAATCGATGGATAGTCCCTTATAATCCATACTGATTAATGAAATACAATGCCCATATTAATGTGGAAATTTGTGCAACTGTTAAAAGCATTAAATATTTATTTAAATACATTTACAAGGGACACGATTGTGCTAACATTAAATTGGAACGACCAATTCAACAAGGTGCTGCTGCTCAAAAAACTTTAGAATTGGATGAAATTAAAGCACATCTTGATGCAAGATATTTTAGTGCACCTGAAGCTGCATGGAGACTTTTTGAATTTCCATTAAACGACAAGTCTCATGCAATTATCCGATTAGCTGTTCATCTTCCAAATCAACAACCAGTTTATTTCGCTGAAGAAAACGAACAACAAGCATTAGAAAAAGCTGTCTCAAAAGACACCACACTCATAGCGTGGTTTAAATAAAATTCAAAAGATCCAGATGCTCGACAATATATATACCATGATATTCCGCATCACTTTGTTTTTGAACGCAATGGAACATGGAAACGCCGATTACAAGGCGAAAATGTCATCGGTAGAATGTACTCTGTCAGTCCGGGTGATGTAGAACGTTACCATCTCC